AGTATTAAATAATATTATATTATTAAGTTTCTATAATACAACGCACGTGAAAGCCCGTATATGTAATAGTAAACAACATAAAACCTTACGAGCATATCTCTTTTGCGAAATAAAGTCTACATTAGACTTACATAACTGCTCCCAAAAAAGGTACAAGGCTATTTATCGATTATAAACCTAATAATCTAACAATATATTACATCAAAGGAACCGTACAATGAAGAATGACCAGTCGTCTATGGTAGATACGGGCGGCCAAACAAAAACGTGGCATCAGTCCATAAATTCACTAACTTCTGGTCTAAGCCATACTGGTAGATGCGGATTGCTTGGTTGTGGTGTGTGCGAATATCGTAACCAGTGGTTGGAGACTCTGGATGACATGGCTTAGAATCGATCACAATGAAGTGGGTGTATGCACTCTTTGTCTTTGCTCAAACCGTGAAATTAAAATTCCTTTATGTCTTACTTTCTACCAACTAATCCTTTATTCCTAAATTATGTCCTTATAAATAGTCTTTCCTTAATATATTACTCCCATTTAAGTAACTACTTTTATGAATTTAGTGCTCATCTTGTTGTGCTAATGAAGGGTGGCAACTTGAACTGATGCATATATGTGCCTAGTCCTACGTTAAAGCTGACTGATTGACTGTGTGGTCTATGCTCCCTCTTTTTATTTCTGTAACTTATTAGTTTAAATTAACAAGCTCATGTTTATAAGTGAGTTACTAACTGCATATTGTACATCTGTGATATGACTTTAAATGAAATATTTCCTGAAACTAACTTTATGGAAATGCTGGATCTTAATCACTGAACTCCAACAACTAACTGTTCTATGAAATGGTTAGGTAACAGCAGAAAATGTAAATGTTGTTTACACTGAGTCTATCTGTTATGTCTAGTTGTTGCTGAATATATAATTACACTTATACTCCTGCTACGCTATAAAGGGAAAGGGATGATTAAGTTTTATCAAGGCAGCGCCTAGCTCAGAAGACTTGGATGACTTATTTGAGCTGCAAACCCTTGACAGCCTCATTTATATGAATGCAGCTACTTGTCAATTATCAAACGTTATTTAACAGATAGATAGATATTATGAGCAGAGATGGATGGTGGTTAACAATGGAATCCATTTGGAACTCATTAACTGAATGTACCAACATCTCAAAGTCGATGTTTACTCTGAGACTCGAGTCAGTACTGTTCACTTTAAACGTTATCAATTGCATTCCTTAACATCAATCTAAAGATTAGAACGACCAGGAGGAGTGAATTAAACTTCACCTCATTGTGTAAGCCAGTGGCTATCTGGCTAAATCACTAACCCAAAATTGTTTGAAGTGAACGGTACTGATTCGAGTCTCAGAGCGAACATCAACTCTGGAATGCAGGTAAATCCAGATGACTCATCCCAAATAGGACGATCACGCGTCCTAGATTCCGCCGCTAGCCCATCATCTATCTCGGTTTATAATGCATATGATTTAAGACAATATCGAGATAATCCGCATTAGATGCATATATACAAAAACAGAATGATCAGTTGCAGACCTAAACAACAATAGGAAAATTTAAACAACCAATACTAATGAAATGCCCATATATATAGTGCCATAGTAATACACAGATTAGTATCTGAATAATCAATCAATGGTCACAGTACAATAGTCGTATATTAACAAAATTACATAATATAATCACTGTAAATCATTTTGTCAGTTGCATGACAATGAATTACTTATTTCTAAACATTCCAACAATATTTACTGATTGTTTAGTATGAGAATTAGACGAAATAATAAAAACAAAAATAACATAATCAGTAATTGTTGAATCGTTTAGTTTGATTGACCAATAATCTTAGTATACAGTAATGTAAATAGTTATTTATTGTTATAATCGATGATAATGAAAAAACATTAAATAATTTCAATGGCTGTTAAATATGACACTATAAACGAATCATCGTCAACACTAGTGTTATGAGTAGTAATGTGAGTTTTCGAAAGTTCTGCATTAACTATAGTCTAATACTCATATTGAAGACATTCCATGTGATCGTATACATGTGAGTGAATATATATATATATATATATATATATATATATATATATAGCTCCCAAATGCCCTGGTATGTCCGAGAGTGCGGAGAGTTCGCTCTCCCTCTAGAAATGCTCTCACACGGCCACGCATATATAGCCTCTGCCACGGAAGTCCTACTCACTGCCTTCTCGTGGCACTACTGTTGTTTACGAAAATGAGAGGACGAAAAGCGAATGTCCGGCGCTATAACCGGATCCTAAACCAAATCGATGGCGCACATGGGCTCCAGGATCCTGAGGAAACAAATGGCGTATGAACCAATTGTTGGTCACCGGCTCCCATGGGAATCCATCTCCTGACGATGCTCCACTGCCTTGTGGATCAGACATTCAGGTCGAAGGCTCGGGGTGTTGCCCTCTAAGAAAACCACCTGCTTCGGTTTGGGCACCCGGGCAGTATCACAGCCCTCACACATATGGAATGAGATTTGTGAGGTGCATATGTATTTGGTGCCTCCTTGTACCAATATCTATGTGTTAAATATATATATATATATATATATATATATAACGCTATTTCGTAAATCGAGAAAACTAATAGAAGCCCCCTCACTAGACTGGCACAATGTAAACAGCATTTGGTTATTCCATTCAACATGATTCTGAATAAATTAATTAATCAGGAAAGAACCTTACACGAGCTTGGTTACTAACCATTTATTGTTTTTCTAATGTCTAGATTGATTTGTACTATTTAATAAAATTAACTAAGCCTTGAACTCTTTTTGTCTTGGTCATAAAGAGTTGTAGGCACGATCTTATGATATTATACTATTTATCGTTTTCATTGTATAACTGATCCTCCAGAACCGGAATGAACTAATTTTATGAATATCTAGTTATCTATATGAGTTCTTTCAATGATAAATATCATATGATCAATGTTAATAATGAAACCTTCCATCATTTGATTTCATTTTAAAACTTAACAGACAGTACTCAAAATCTTGACATGATTATCTGTATAATCCGTTGATTAGATTAAAGGAGAACTGAAATCTGTATTGATCAAGTTAGCCAACAAATCAAAACAATGGATTCTGTAAAACTGAACCCAAAACCATAACAATTACTTTCTGGTTTAAGTTTGTGATTCAGTCGATAAACATTAACTATTGACTCTATCATTGATAGTAATATTCATTACGTACTACGCAGTGAATGAATATATGAAACGTTTCCACCTCGTCATCACATTTCATAGTAAACTGCCATCGTCCCCTCAGAATATCTGTTGTAATTAACCCGGCAAAAATGAATAAAAGAATAATTAAGTACATCCTAGTGATAACTACTATATGAGCTCTTAATACGAGTTCTTATGTATCACTATAAATTCCAAAGTATTGTAATCCTTAGTCCGAAATTCTTTGAAATTCAGTGAAGCACCCGATCAATCCCATCGTTTATGAGTGACCCTTCTCTGTGCTTGATGGGGTATACAGTTGGAATATATATGTAGCAAATAATGCTATAGTATGTTCTTGCCTCCTATTAAGTTCCATAAAATATTTACCCATTCATCTCAGACACTACAATCCATACCTCCATTAACTTTTATCGCTACAAAAATCTTCAATACGTCATTTATTCTCATCCACTGAATTACTTTGTACTTAGCAAGCCTACAGTAATATCATTTACAACCGATTAAATGTAAGGACTCTAAATTCATTATTGAATAATACCACCCAATGTATATAATTCAATACATATCCAAAAATAAAAGTCTGTTTCATCGAGTATGCGGAATGAACGAAGGTGTAAATAATTACCATTAATTCGTTATGGCACAGGAAATGACTTTAAATACACTACTCATAAATCAACAGGCTGTTTACTTAAGAAAAATTAAAAGTTCCCGGCTATTGCATTGGATTGCTGTAATACATGTACTACCTAAATAATTACTGAACTAGTATACTTAAAACTAACTTCTATCACATGTTTGTTCTCTACATCTTATGTTACTATTTATATCAAATTGATCATGCCTGTAAACTGGCATGAATTCTGTAATTATTATTTTCAGAATATATATATTATTATACTATTATAAATCAAATTTTAGAAATTCTGATGAAATCACTTCTTTTCTAATACATCTCAATATCATTCTAACTCAGTTAGTATTCATTACCTGTTTAAATGATATCAATGTAAAGCATAAAAATTACTAATAAATTTCATAGTTGACTTCATGAGTCAATCAAAGTTAAACCATCATGAAAAACTTGGAAGTACTGAATTATCATTTTGTCCTAATATGAGACTCTTCAACAGTACGCATTCACATTCCTGCCTCACTAGATTCATCTAATGCTTCCAGATTTTTCATAGTGATCTAGCTTTAATTAACACATGAACTTAACTATTAAATGACTACAATTTCCACGAAAATAACCCTTTTCTGTTAAGAAATTTCATTCTGTAAAACAATAATAAACTTGTGAAATTTCTAAAACTCTCCACAAAACCCATTCTGATAATAATCAACTGCTCACTAGTGACTGACTTCAGGAAAAACTCCTGGAGTTCCAGTGAGAAGCCCTTACCAGTGGAGTTCAACCGATGTGTTGTGAGATAACAACTCACTGAAGACAATGGTGTACGGTGGCGCAACTTCGTGGATTGGTTGAAGTTAGACATTAACACCGTTGGATGCCGGCTCAGTGGTCTAGTGGTTAAGTGCTCGCGCGCGGAGCCGGTAGGTCCTGGGTTCGAGCCCCGCGTGGTGCGGGATCGTGGATGCGCACTGCTGAGGAGTCCCATACCAGGACGAAACGGCCGTCCAGTGCTTCCAGGTTTTCAATGGTGGTCTAGCTTCAACTGACTCATGATTTCAACTTGTGAAATAAACTTGAATTTAAATTTCAAATTATCACTTACGATTATTTACATGTTTCCATTCATTACACAAATATAATCCATTGAATAATGTAATAATTAAAATACCAATGATGAATGGAATAATCTCAATGTTCATTATTATTATGTATGATCATCTGATTGTAATCATTGAACTTTAAAACAGATCAGTACAGTTTGTTTTATCATATTCATAAAGAATAAATGAACAAAGAACTTATCCTTTGATTGTATCATATTCATGCTAAATGAATGTTCGTTTTTAAAGTGATAAACTAGTAAGTAAATATAAAAATTGAATGAGTCTACATTTATTTAACTGAATTCATTAGTAAATGATAATACTGAACAACCTTGCAAAATAACAATCCTATTTAAAAATGTTAAAAAAAACAGAACAGAACAGAACAGAGTAAAGATAATTTATATTTTTGAACATGTCTGCACAAACATGAATTACTTATATGGATACTATTTGTATAGATACATCTATATTAAAAATCTTATTGTCCATATTGAAATCTATGCACAGACATAAACTAATTAGCACTAAATGATATACAATTATATGAATACAACGAAACAAATATGTAAATGCATTCAAATACATTACAACAAACAAAAATAAAGGCATATATCTCACTATGTCATTCATTTGTATATTTTGAACTAACCATTTCAAATAATCCACATTGTTGTTTTGTTTTTTTGTTTGTTTGTTTTTTTAATGTAAACGAAAGAATTCATAAATAGGGTCAGTGAATATACTACTATGTTGGAAAAAATGTATATTAACTTAAAAGAAGAGATGAGATGAGAATACTTTATTACACAAGATCATACATGCATACTATTAGTTGACGCCAATAATTGATTAGAATAAAAGAGTTTATTGTTATACTTTCGATGAAAATTATTTTCACTTTTTATATCTTTATTTACTGTCAATAAGTTGTCAGTCAAAATGGATTTTCAAGTTCATCCTTTTTTGAATATTAAAAATTGAAAAAAAAAAGTAAGTAAGCCTAATAGACTATATATGAGATGATGGTGACTAGCAGTGGAATCCATGATGCGGGTTTCGTTCTATTTGGGACTCGTCAGCTGAATTCACCTGCATCTCAGAGTTGATGTTCACTCTGTGACTTGAACCCAGTATCGTTCGCTTAAAAATTTTATTGCGTTGTTGACTTAATTACTGAGTTCAGATAACCACTAGCTTGCTCAATGGACTGATCAATTACAGTCCTAAGCATCAATGGAGAAATACAAGCAACGAATACTAATAAACTACACTTGAAGTGTATAAATGAACAGATGAACATTTATTTATGTGCTGATTTGTACTTTTATTTACACATATATACACAATGATGTTCACTGTTTCAATAATAACCGGTCTTCAAGGCTATCACAAGAGAATAAGCATCTTATTCTGGGCATCAAAACTATTTAAATACAGTAATTTATAAGGTTCAGTAAATAATGAATGAAGAAATCAAACTTTAATCTCTGAAAACCATGAACACTAATACTAGTTATTGAATCACATTAATCATTGACCGGTTAGACAAAGATGTCTATTTAATAAACGATTCTTCTGTCAACCACTTGGTACTCTAACATAACTTTTGTTTTATTTGCATAGAATACTGAGACTAAGATTATCCTTCACGTATTTAATGTTTAAGTAACATTCTATATACATACTGTATTCAGTATTTCTAGCCAATTTTTATTTCATCTAGTGAATGAGTGGTGCATATTAGAGCGTAATTCCTATTAAAAATTTGATTCCAAGTGTTAAAAGGTTTCCATGAATATCTGGTGTAAATGTATCAGTTTAGAGCATCACAACATACAAGATGAAAAACACAAATCTACTGAACCTAAAGGCTTAAAAAACAGTCTTTTATAAAGATCACACTACTGTGAATCACTCAACCATTAAATGAAAGGAAAATTAAGCAAAAGTAATCCATATAACATATTAATTGAACACTTAAAACTGTGATAAGTAATCCCAGTTGGATATCAACTTAATGAACCACTGATAAACAAGTCAGTTATTTAATTAATAAATTATACTCATCTGTTGGTTCTAATAAAAAGTCCTTTTAAAAAGGAATCAACTAAAGACACTTACTCATTAACCTTTCCTAGAGATTTTAAACTGTATCTACTTTTATTTCTGTAACTAAAATAGGTAACATGATTCAATTTATATAGAACCTTCTTTTTCAATTTAAGACTGTACAGAAAACATATGTCTATAGAAGGATAGAAAAGATTGCATCATACATTCATTCGAGACTCTTATTGTCAAATGAGGTTACTCAATAATCATGGAGTAAGGAAGAAATATAAGGATGAAAATAAATTACGGATGAGATAATGGCTTAACTTGTTGTTAATTAATTATTCATATCAGAAGGGTTTTTTGGTAGATATTATACTAATTTAGATGCTTGAGATCATGAGTCAATTAAAGCTAGACCATCATGGTAAACCTCGAAGCACTGTAAGGCCATTTCTTCCTGTTGTGGGACTCCTCAACAGTGCGCATCCACGATTCGGCCTCGCGAGATTCGAACACAGGAACTACTGGTCTCGTGAGCGAACACTTAACCTCTAGACCACTGGGATGACCGGCATCCAACGGTGTTAATGTCTAAATTTAATCAATCCACGAATTTGAGCGACACATCCACCATTGTCATCAGTGAGTTACTATCTCACAACAGACCCAGTTGAACTCCGTTGGTCACTGCTTCTCACTAGAACTAGAGGAAATACCTGTTGAAGCCAGTCACTAATGAACATATGTTGATTCATATCAGAAGGGTTTTTTGAGGGTATTATAGTAATTTCGATGGTTAAGATCATGAGATCAATTAATTATTCCTTCGTTACTCAGGTTTTGTATCACTTATGGCTCAATTGTGTGCGTGACTTTATCTTTTATCCATGTTGGTGTAAGGTTAAGTATTTAATGTATATTATCATATGAGCTTTGAGTCAAAACAACAAAAAGATTTACTATCTTGCTTCATCCTCTAATTGGACATTGAGTTAGATGCTTATGGATTAGTAATAGTTATGATTCGTCTGTTGTCGTTCGTAGTCATTGTGTCCTTGCTAGAATAAGCTATTGGTATGGTTAGTTATAAAGGTGAACTAAACTTTCGATAAACAACAGCTACTTTTATCGAACGGCCTCATAACGCAGCACCCAACAACAATAAAAATATTTATTTACTTTTTGTTTCATACTACAATTGATTAGTTATTTTGGATTACGTAGGCAAAATAAAAGTGTAATGCAGGTTTTATGTTCTTGAATAGTGGACATAGAATTTGTTTCGAACTAGCGTATTGCTTATTGTCCTATGAGATTTACTTCAGTGACCTGTGTATTACTTATAAAAATGAGTGATTATGTGAAAAGTATGAAACTTTGAATAAAATGGATCAAAGGAAACTTGCACTTGTACTAATAATACAGTGGTAATCCTCCTTAAGTAATAAAAAACTCATGTATTTATACTTCATAATCAATCTCCCTTTTAGATATATATAGCCTTTATTCTCAAAAGCATCCATTTATACATATCACTGATATGAAATGGGAAATATCTATAGCTTCATGTGAATATATTACTTACTAATCTAGTTAAATACGACTTTTATTTTATGTACTTAACTTATATCACTATCTTACCGTGACTTTCTTCATACTTTCAATATGTTACTACACGTTTCCATATTCCGATCATTTTCATCCAGTTTACTTGTATGCTCAGTTGTTTTCTAAAACATTAATTGACATAATGATCTCTAGCTAATTCAGTAAATCATATCAAAGCAATTTAATTAAGCCGTACATTTCTTTATATGTCCTAAATGCAAGTGGACACTTTTACTGTGTTTACAAGTAAAATGTAATGTCAGTAGTTGAAATCATGAGTCAATTGAAGCTAGACGACCATGGAAAACCTCGGAGTACTGGACGGCCGTTTCGTCCGAGTATGGGACTCCTCAACAGTGAGCATCCACGTTCCCGCCCCCTGCGAGGTTTTCCATGGTGGTCTAGCTTTAATTGACTCGTAATTTCAACTATTGAAATTACTGAAATCTCCAAAAAATCCCTTCTGATAAAATGTAATGTGTTAAAATATTAATTTACAATTCAATTATTAGATTTGCATTAACTAAATGTTGTCATTTGATGTCAGTAAATTTTCTCAAATCTCATTGGTCAGGAAAAAGACAATCTCATTGGTTCAAATGTCATGGTGGTCCAAGTTCAACAAACTAATCACTGAATCAATCAGAGACATGTTTTAGAAGTTATGAATATCTAAAATTCGGATATACTCTCACATCGATTCCACTGATAACTCACTGGCCGTTCTTGTAAAACATTTTGCAGACGTGTTTTGTAAATGTATCAGTATATTTGTTAATCCACTTATACCATTACTGAACAATATTTCGCCGACTACCTTAGACACTTTTCTTTCTAGATACAGGAAACAAAACTAAAATGTTTAGTAAATCAGGTTCCAAATATAAAATTTTCATTCCTTACCTTATGTTGTGCATTATAAAAGTCAAAGTTTAGTTACCATGAATTATATTTGGATATAACTGTTTAAATTCAAAACGTTTAATGAAAATAAGTTACTCAGATAAAATTATAATAATGATATTACCATTATTTTCAGTCTGATCTAGGCTTATTGTCCACTTTACCAGCATTTACAAAACTTTCAATTCGCATTCATTTGACCCGCGCAAAATTTTAAAGTATCCATTCAGACCCCAATCTTCGTTCCATGAGTTGGCACATAGCCAGTAAGGAATATCATTTTCTATACCCCATCCAATTATTCGAACTGAATGAATGGTAACTAATCGTCCGATTATATGTTTATAAACACCAGATTTATAGTTAAAAAAATCAGAATGCACAAAAATGCCCGCTTCAACTGGTCCATTCATCATAATTTCTTTCCTAATATCACTTTCATTTGGTCTAAGACTGTAAACGGCTTTCCCTATAAATAAAAAGACAATCAAAACAGTCACTGGAAAACAATATATATTTTGGTATTTCAGAATGTTGTAAGAAGATGAATCAGACTATACTTAATATATGGTTTGAAATTCTGATTCTAATATAGCATGAATATAATATTTTCTATAGTTTCTAAACTGGCTTTACAAAGTAACTATTCAACTTTGAGCCATCCACTAAAGCCTTAGATTCTCAATGTCCATTTAATCAAACTACTGAAAAATTAATTTATACAAATTTTTCCGTCTTAGTACACATTCATGCATACAATCAAAAATAAGTTCTGTTACTGCTTGAATAAATCCTTAAACCCCTCTAATTATGGTACTAGTTGATAAATAGAAAACATAAGTTGGACAACTGGTTATAAAAAATAGTTATACTGATGATCAAAGGGGAATTGTTATTGTTACCTATATTCGGTTCCCAAAAATTTTTGACACATTCATCGATGTAGTAAATGTCACTTTCATTGTAGACACAAACCCCAAATCAACATACATTATGCTTATACTATTTATTCATGAGATGATTCTATATCAGTATTCTGTTCCGATTATTATGTCATTATTGTCTTTAGTTTTGGTGCTCACGTAATTTGTCGTTCTACACAGATGAATAGAAACGAATCAGCTATATCAACCGATCCTAATTAACGTTTAAAAAATCTTATCTGGTTGCATCAGCTATATTCCGTGACAGAATAAACTTGTTTCAGTTCATCCAAGCCAATAATGGTGACATGTGTGTTGTAATTGAAACAACCTAACTGATTGACAACTCACTAACCAGCCATCTTTACAGATATCTAAAGCTCCGAGTAGAGCACCCTAAAGAACGGTTCAATTGACTTATAGTGATAATAGTAACAATAATAATATCTTTATTTATCACCATAAATTTTGTTACAATGAGGAATTCTTAGTACGATTGCTCAATATTGTAATAAATTTCTATTTAATATATACTCAAATAGTAACGATTCAAAAGCTATATTTTAAGAATGTTATTTCACCAGTTAGTATCTGGAAATCATCTTCCATAAAGAGGATTTTCTATTGTTTCATGGGTTACAACTACTTTTTTATCTATCAATTATTGAACGAATGAATTTAAACATGTCATTCGTTTATTTACAGGATAGATAAGGAGGAGAAATTGTCAACAAATTCAATGTTTCCGTTTAATATTTTTAATATTTAGCATCACGAGAGGTTGCAAGCTATTTCTAGTACTGTATGAATCCACTTAGTTAGGATTTATAATCACTTGGTTCACACAAACATAAAACAAAGATTTACCACAATATTTGCATAGTTAGAAAATAGGTGGACTAAATATTTAAGCAGATCTGACGTGCATAAATGGATTAATCAGATTCCTACTGTCCCAAACTAATAGCGAAACCACAGCCAAGGGAATGGGCTTGGCGGGATTAATAGGGAAAGAAAACCCTGTTGAGCTTGACTCTAGTGTGACTTTGTGAGGAGACATGATGGATGTAGTACAAATGGGGGCTGAGTGCTTCGGCGCTTTACTATCAATGTTTCTTTACTTATTCACCCTCCGCTTCAGATTCGCTAAATACGTTTGTAGCTTTGTGATCTGCGCTATCCGCTAATAAACTGTAGTTGCTGTTTCTCACTGCCTTCTGATTTCAACCACTGTTGAGACTTATATTATAATGGTTATCGAAGTAAAGCCACTACAGGTTACATCAATAATGTGAACTAAACTGGTTTGTAGTTCTTACCCAAAGATATTGAGCATTTATCAAAAGTCGGTTAAATTAATATTTTATCATGTTTGAATTTATTTATCTTTATGTACGGATTAACCTAATACTTATCATTAAGTTGATCAAATGGAAGTTTCCATTGCTTATCTTTAGATGAATTATACTATGATCAATCATGTCCAGTATATCTTAGGAATAAAATTAAAAGAATATTAGTTAGGACGTTTTATGCATTTAATGATGTTCTGTTAAATTGTTTTTTTACTTTTTTGAACTTAATATTTACCTCTAACCTGTGCATATTACAATGTACTGCAAAATTACTTAACAGCTTCAAAAACAATCTCTTGTGACGTTTATATCATTGTGAAAATCTTCTAAATATTTCCCGCTTAACATTGTCAATTTTTCTTTATGTTAATGTAAGTAATGTATTTAGGAAGTTAGGAAATTTCATAGACTATAGAGTGGTATGCTAGATTTGAGTTTGAGATTAAATTCATACATCCCTAAATTAATCTTTCTGAAAATACAGTATATGTCAATCTTGATTATAATCACATTTTGGTATGGATTTAGTTGTACAGCGATAAATGGTAAAAGTAAATACTTATTAACTTGGATGTGTTGTGAGATTTCAAATATTCACTACATTGAAGTGATTCAAAAATTTTAAAATTAATTGTATTTTGTTCAATACATCCCGTCTTTACCGTAATGTTTATCCGCTATATATGGAATAGGATATCCAGAACGACATGTTTTCTCGCATGTTGGTGCTGTGTAGGTAATATAGCCACACTTTGGATATGAGTTAGATGATCTATGATCACATTTCGGAAAAGGATATGGTAGACAACCTGTTGAATCTCCTGTAACTAGTCCATTTTTCAACCAATAGTTCCAAGCGAATTCAGGATACCCAATTTGGCAACCAAGTTTATTTTCGTACAAGAAATTAGCTCGATGGCACTCAATTGTACTTTTATTGTTCCATTTGTCTGAATGCATGTACGATCGCTAATTGAGGCAGCTGAAGCTACAGCCTAATGTATTCAGAAAATTTCAAACAAAAGTAGTCATCAGAAATTTAACAGTTCAGTTGATTATTAGACAATGAACTAAATGTATTGCTTGTCGATATAGAAGATTGTAAACAGATAGCTGTTTATTCAGTTACTTCATTTCATAATCCACAGTAGTCGTATATTCATTGCCAAAACAACCAAAAAATAGTGTCTTGATTGTCGTAATAATCTCAATTATTTCAGTAGATGTTTTCTTTATGATTAAAATAAAAAATTACTTCAAGACTTGTAGTCAGTTATATCAAGAGTATTAAATTCATTAGAAAGACAAGTTTATTAAATAAAGCTCATGTAAATTATCTATTTAGTGAGCAACTGAACAGTTTTTTTTCTTTTTAGCTCCTACCCATGTGACTTGCTATAAGTAATGTGATAAAAAGTCACCACATATTTTTTTTTACTTTGATACCACATTGACTGCATAATAACGAATGAGTTTGAATTCATTTTGTCGTCTTACATTCCAGATATAAATTCAACATTTTTTCTCTCCACTAAAAACAGTAACTCATCTTTCCACTTCCTGAAGTAAAACACAGAACATTTAAATTTAAAAAAACATCTTCAGCTTTACATTGATTAATAGAACCAGTTACAAATTATTAGTTGAAGCAATGATCAGTAAGGATAGAAAATTCAAACACGATTTTACCGTTCTTTGTAATACACTAATGCTTTAAAATATCGATCAATATTTGAAATATTGTTGAATAAGTACTAGGATGGTATCAAATTTTCTAGCCATTATTCACAAATGTTAATTTCTTTCGTGTAAGGATAACGCTGAGTACATTTTTTTTCTAACCGATATTTCTTCATGATCTTTGTTGTTTTATGACTGGTTGCTATCACATTTGGTTTATCATTTTTCTTATTTCTCAAGGTCATAGTTCGCTGCAAAGTATACAGCGTTGTTCTATTTCAATCTTATCTTAATTGAATATTAAATTTTTTCTACACTCTTGCTTTCTTATTCGGTTCCATCGTTAGGGGAGCTCTCAATAGATCTCGTTTATATTAGAATAATCTTGATTGTTTGCAAGTGAAAATTGCCATATTCTCAACAGAATCTAATCTAATAAGACAGAAAATTCAACAATTTTGAAATGAAGTATTATTTCAATTCTAAAAACAACAAATTAAAAGTGAAAATGAATACCTTAAAATAATGTTCATATCTCCTTCGGATCTGTCAATTGTGAATAGAACACGAATGGATGATAGTGACCTTTAATTCTTGTTACAATGAAAACACTATCATTAATTATCAACATACTTTAGTCTTTGACCTAATATCTATATAAATTGTATCTTATTATACAAAATTCAGATAAAAATACTAATAGTTTGATGAAAATTGGGCACTGAGTATAGAGAAGCCATTATATGTGAAAATTATATTTGAAGTAGTCTCAGCGACTGAAATTTAAATAATTCCAACATTTCGTCCAACAAACCCTGACGAAGTCCAGACAAATTTGTCGGACGAAACGTTGGAATTATTTAAATCTTAATCGCTGAGATTATTTCGAATAAAACTTTCGCATGTAAAAACATTAATAGTTATACTATAACAATAAAATGTTGTGCGAAAAAATGTATTAAGAAATTTATTGAAACGTACCCAACCGGAATCACATTTTGACTGATCGTGGATAATATTGATACTTGGACAATCTTTCCATTGTTCACGTGAATCAAAATAATCAGGTAATTCAATATTTATATCTTCATGTGAAACAATCGGAAGAATCTCCTGTTTAAAACGTCGAATACCATAATGTCCCAATGTATTGTATACATCAGATATTGATTTAAATCGATCCTGTTTTGATGCTTTCCATCCAGCAGATGGCTGAACAAAAGATAATTTAATAATTGTATTTAAAATAGGTGAATGTTTATTATTACTTCGAGGGGTTTTCTTATTATTATACTATTTTATATTCAGAAATAGGTGCTTGTTAGGTTTACATTTACTGAACTTTTATCATAGGACGTAACGAATTTATACAACATACTATTTCCATCTTTTTTTAATGGATATACTGTACTTACGACTGAACTCACCAAACATTTAAACGATTGTTCAATGAATATAAGTAAAAAGATAGTAGACTGTCAACTGGTATTATACACTAAAATATGAAGCGGAACTGTACACATAGTATCAGCTATTTTAACACACTAATAATCCAACGTTAAAAGAATTGATGAGGGCACCTAAAAATAGAAAACTACTAAATTCAATCGTCGAAAAGAAACTTTTCTTCGCTGAATTCTCTTTATTCATATTCAATGACACAATAGGTTATTTTAATTATCAAACATATATGTATATATGCATAAACCTGGATTTTTCTTAAGGAATATCAAATTAGACGTTTTTCACAGTGAACAGCAATAGATAACAACAATAAGACTATAGTGAAACTATAAAATTTTCAAATCGTACATGGAGGACAGTTGACAAGCTCTTCCGAAGTAAAGACCGGTGTCAGGCAAGGTTGCTTACTGTCACTCTTCTCTTTCTCCTAGTGATCGATTGGATCATGAAGACGTCAACATCTGAAGGGAAACACGGGATACAATGGACATCTAGGATGCAGTTGGACTATCTAGACTTCGCAGCTGATCTAGCTCTTCTATCGCAAACACAACAACAAATGCAGGAGAAGACAACCAGTGTAGCAGCAGCCTTAGCAGCAGTAGGTCTCAATATACACAAAGGGAAAAGCAGGATTCTCCGATACAACACAGCATGCACCAGTCAAATCACACTTGATGAAGAAGCTTTGGAAGATGTAAAAACCTTTACATATTTGGGCAGAATTATTGAGGAACATGGTGGATCTGACGCGGATGTGAAGGCGCGGATCGGAAAAGCAAGAGCAGCATATTTACAACTGAAGAACATCTGGAACTCAAAACAACTGTCAACCAAAACCAAAGTCGGAATTTTCAATACAAATGTCAAGACAATTCTACTGTATGGGGTAGAAACGTGGAGAAGTACGAACGCCATCATCCAGAAGATACAGGTGTTTATTAACAGTTGTCTACGCAAAATACTTCGGATCCGTTGGCCGGACACTATTAGCAACAACCTACTATGGGAGAGAACAAACCAGATACCAGCGGAGGAAGAAATCAGGAAGAAGCACTGGAAGTGGGTAGGACACATATTGAGGCAAGCACTCAACTACGTCACAAGACAAGCCCTCACATGGAATCCTGAAGGCCAAAGGAGGAGAGGGAGACCAAAGAACACGTTACGTCAGGAAATGGAAATAGACATGAGAAAAATGAACAAGAATTGGATGAAACTAGAAAAGAAGGCCCATGAGAGAATGGGTTGGAGAATTCTGGTCGGCGGCCCATGCTTTACTAGGATTAACAGGCGTAAGTAAGTAAGTAATATAATACATAATGAAACATGTGATTTGAAAAGAAATATTACTATACTACTAACTATTGACTTACATAATTATTTACATATTGGATTAATTCATCAGATAATAAGTTAGACTGTATCAAATTATATCCATTCAGATATATAAGAAAATAAATTAAAAGAATAAATAAACTCATATGCCTATTGTAAATCTGATAATAATAATAATAATAATAATAATAATAATAATAATATCTTCACATATGATCTATTTCTTTATTCTATTTATACTGAAGCTAATCACAATGATCTTTGGAATAGAATGAATCTTTTTTTTTGTAACTTAAGGAAAAATAAAACTATAATAAAATATAATTGAATGAATGAAGTGTAATTTTATAATTAAAATAATGTTGTGTTAACAAGAAAATCGATATAAAATGGATCACTCTTAAGTATAAATAGTTCAAGTCTTAGATAGAAAATACTAGAATATATATATAACACAGGATAACAAATTATCTTTGTAGTCCTAATGGTAACTTTACAAGTTTGTTTATTTCAGAATTTTACTGGTTAAGTTTAATAAGGCTACGTTGACGAATTGAAGTCAGATTCTATGTATCATGAATCAATCTAAAGAGAGAATATTCACTCTAATTACAATCTATTTAGTTCCTATTATGAAAGCTTTTTAAGCCACATTGAGGGTATTTCTTTATTCTTTTAAATAATAAGAAATAGATGAATGTGAACTAAGATTATTCACGTTATATTCAATCAAGTTTTCATTTATTCTTTCTTCTATAACTTCATTCATGAAAACAAATAAGTATTCAAGCATTAGTCATTTATTCATATTTTTCACTGTCAATGCTGTAATTTAACTGGAGCATAAGCTTTCTGTTTCATATCTTCTTCAAAAGTGTCAAACACTTTATGTAAGCGTATGTAATGACATTCAGCGTTTATAAAATTCTGAATCTAAAGTCTCCGATTATTAGTCAAATTCAAAGCTCCATTTATGGGGTATAAATAGAATTACTAATGACAAGAGTTATTGTTTTGCTAACAACTGAAATACCTCTTATTGATTATGAATTAATCCGAGAGGATTCTTGAGATGGCAGCGGTAGACGTACTGAATTACAAATATTTTAGTCCAATTTGAACTTTCAGATTTCAATATTGAAATAATTATTCTTAGTTTGTTCTCAAAATTCTAAATAGTTCATTACACGTTCTGTGAACCTTTTCATATAGATGGGTGTTATGTTCGCTGTATTCACCAGTTTTTTTAATGCCATCTATTCGTAGAGAACCGAGTTCTATCTAAATAGATTAATGTATTACTATCTTATAGATTTCAGCTAATACTAACAACTTAACTAATCATCTATTAAAAGGGTTTCATACGAAACTGCTTTTGAACGTCGATAAATAGGCTGTTTCGTTTATATGAAAAAGTACAAACAGGTAAAATAAGCATGATATACTGCGCAGAGGATGAACACCGAAGGTTCACTTTATTAAGAGTCATTAAGAAGTCGTCATCAACCTACTTCAGCTTCAAATATTTGAAATGCTCAACTGTTTCTTTATTAGCTCATTCAAATTTTTGCAGAAGCAATCAATCGAACACTGATTAAGAATATAAAGTTTTGTAGTGACTCATCTTTATCACGAGAACACGATTGGTTTATTGAAAACAATTATTATTATAACCAATTGTACCAGTGACTTTTAATGCGCTTTTTGTTTAACTGTGCTAAAAAGCATCCATTATTCTTACACTTTGATTGTGACTTCGCGCGAATTCGGTTACGTTCTGTAACCAAGTTTGTATCCTGTCACGATCTCGGTATCCTTTCGATACCACGAGATCGCCAGCAAATATATCTCGACTTGGTCCATTAACTGCCTTCTGATATTTCGCTTCCGGGGGATTTTATGGATATCCTGGCACGCGTTCCTTTATAGCGATGTTCATAGTCAATCTCGACTCGACGCCACGCTAGTTTCCTTCAGTTTCGACCACATCAGTCCACTATATTTGCCCTGAACGGTTTAAATCATCTTGCGCAACTCTGTCGTAAAAGGTGCGCAGGGGTCGACGCTTAAACTGCTTATGGTATGAGCGTATTGTGTGCATATCGTCTATGACGACTTACAGCCGACTTGATTACTTGTTATTCATTGAATGCTTTGGAAGCCGATGGCTTATGGTCTAGGATGATCTTATCTATACCTGTGTGTATACTATAAATGGAATGAGTATTGGCCTAGGCTCTTCACACGTACGTGTAACGTTTACTTACGAGCGGAAGCACCAATGCCTGTGAATACCATGGAGTGTTTAGGCCTCGCTTTATGCATTCTATATATATACATGTAAAATACACTTATGACCATGCGCATTTGTCTATGTGTATTGTAGTATATGTCTTTGATGTGTGCATCCTATATATGCATGTGACGTATAGTTGCGGTAGTTCTACATTCAATACTGATGTATTCATTACAACTAATAACACTTTTGAGAAAGTGATGAAATAGTGTAGTCTATAACGTGTCGAAAATGTTAAGTGATACCAATAAACGAAGGTTAACAGAGAAGCTTACCAAGACATCTAAATGACAGGAGGGTGAGTACTATTCTGCATAGAAGAATGAGCCATAATATCAAAGTAATAATATGGACGGATAAAATATTCAGTTTCACAGATTCTTAGTCTTAACAACAAAGAAGCTATTTGACTGGTAAGATAACTCGAACTACTTTCTATTATTCAGTAGTAATAATAATAAGTACTAAGTAAATATAGGAACTGCTTGCTCTCCACCTTTTTTCACATCTGGTGGTTGACTGGATTCTGAAAACCTCGATGGAAGCACAGAATACAGTGAGCAGCTTGGATGCAACTAAACGACTTGGACTTCGCAGATCACCTGGCCCTTCTATCCCATACACACCAATAAATGCAGGTCAAGAAAAACAGCGTCGCAACAGCCTCTGCATCAGTAGGCCTCAATATACATAAAGGAGAAAGCAAGATACTGAAACACATCACAGAAAACACCAACCCAAATACACTTAGTGGGGAAACACTGGATGAGGTGGATGCCTGATAGCATCAGCAACAACCTACTGTGGTAGAGAACAAACCAGATACCAGTTGAAGAGGAAATTAGGAAAAGACGCGGGAGTGAATAGGACATAATTACGGAAAGTAGACCGCACCACGTGAAAAGAGCTAACTTGGAATCCTGAAGAACAACGGAAAAGAGGAAGACCAAAAAACACGGTGCGTCGAGAACTGGAAGCAGACATCAAAAGAATGAATAGCAACTGGAAGGATTGTCCAGGACAGAGTTGGATGGAGAGTGTTGGTGGGTGGCCTATGCCCCTCCATGATGGAGGAACAGACGTAAATAATAAGTAAATATGGGAAGGATTCCGAAAAAGACTAATTCAGTATTTTATTCACGATCCATATACACTACATCACAATCAATGAATTATAAAAATTTTCAAGTTTTATAGAATCAAAACAATATATGTAAGCGAGTAATATTGTCTTCGATAAAATCTTTGTCAATACTCACTCTGATAGACAGCAATATTTATATGCATTCGCAAAAAATAGTAAACCAATCAATGGAAAATCATTTGATGATTTATCCCAATAAGTAGAAAGTGGATATTGTGTGCGAAAAAGAATACTCATATTATTCAGGTGTATTATTTGACAATTCAGGACAGATCATGACAACACTGACAAATTGTAAAACTAATGGTATGAAAGTTGGCGAATCAACTGTCCTGTGAAAATAAAGAGACGAATATGAACAACTACTGTCACAGCAAAAGACGTGGAGAAAGATTAGCAGTTCATCTGTGAATCACTGGTTTATTCAATGAGATGTGAAAGTATGGGCTAAACTGCTACACGAAGATATGAAACAAGTTGCTCAAACTTTTTAAAAACGATCCCACTAGTTTAGATAAATGCCGAGTCTTAACAGCATGCAACAGATGAATACGTAAATTACCCAGGAAATTGAATAGGACAGTATATATTATTCGGATGATTTTATTTAACTTGAAGAACTTCCCACCGAATTAGAAACCACCGAGGTCTTTTCAGTAACCATGGAGAATGGTGTTCGTAAATTCGGGGAGGACCATGGGTAACTGTGTACAACGTAACGCTGCTAAGTAATTTCATATGGATGAAGCTGACTTAGATATGCTACGTTTATCTCAAGCAGTCAGGATAGCAAAATTTGGAAATAGGTCTTGACCAGCTGTTAAAAACGCTTCTTGTTAAGATCCTAACACCATCTTATTGTCTAAGCTTTGCATGAACAATAATACCTTTGAAACTTGTTGCTTTTTGGGTCCAGCTTGATCTGATCAATGCGCTTGTTTATAGACTCTTAAGGATACCCATCCTCACAATGTTACAAATAAGATGTTCGAAAATAACATAAATACTGGACACAAGCTGAGATGGCTTGTAATTGTTTGATGCAAACGGTGCGACCCATTGGTAGTTTAGTTGCTTATTAGTGAACCACTATTATATACGATCACAAACACTTAATACTCTATTTGTTATTTCTGACACTCCAGCTACAATGTAGGGGTACAGAAAGTTTGGTCCGAATACCAAGCCTAGTTGGACAGAATCTAAACTCATTTACGTAATAAACTGAATCCCGACGTGTTGAAAGTAAAGTAAAAATATATTTACAAAATCTGTGGGAAAAATTCCAAAAATACAATACTAAAACAATGTGAATAGTCAAATCAGTGAAAATGCTTCGGCGGGTAAAAGTCCGGCTTCATGTACTTTTTGAAATGAGTGTAATGCAGAATCTATATCAAATTGGCACTCAGTTAAACACTGTAAAGAATAAGCTTTATTCATTCCAGTTGCAGTGGAAAGCTCATCAACTAATTTTGAACGAACAGCGTCGTCCGGTATACCACCTGCTTCGAAAGTTGATACTAGCGTAGATGTTTTTGGAGTCATAAAATTTGACACAGCCTCTGTGATAACTAGTGAACACTCCTGAAAAATAATAATTTAATATGAATTTTATGGGTAAGTTATATATACAAAAATAGTTAGAGATGAAGAGAAGCTTTTCAATCTCTCTAATGTAAAGTACGATTAATAGGATCTAGTAC